ATTTCTGAATGAGCTTCTCCACAACATCATCGAGAACTCAGACATGGATTTCTTCGGATGAAATTTCAAAATGCCCCACAATTATGATGTTTTTGTGGAAAATCCTTGTGGTTCCCAAAATTTTCTATTTAGATTGGCAGATTCTGCTGGCTGAGAGTTTTGAACCATCGAAAGTGTTTTATTTTCATCATAGATTCGAAGAAAAACAGTGAAATGATAAACAAAGTCAACAAAATAAAGAATCTGCATGTCCAAATACATGAAGCTTCATAACTTTATCCAAAGTAGAACTTCGTATAGAGAGATATAACGAAATCTTACTATTCTTTTGGTGATACTTCTAGGTAGGTAAGATGTCACCCCTGTTCCCGGAAGCCACATTTTAAATTAAGTTAAGGTTTATTTTAAATGAATTTATCATGTTTTTCAACATAAAATTTAAATTCGATTTACTTATTAAAGATAGATAATTTTTAAGGCTACATTTAATTTTTCAAATGTCTATTATGACATTTTTTAAAAAGAAAATATTTTATAATAAAACTTTTAAACAAACTAACAAATAATCCTAAATAAGGTATTGGATTTAAACTTTTAAATAAACTAATTTATTTATTTAATAAACAAGTCAAATTAAAACAGGCCTAATTGGGTTAGGACTTAGGCAATAGGCAGTATCCTTTTCGTGTTCTCGATCTTAACTAATTAAGTCATCTTTTTATGTGGAATTTTTTATATGATCCAGAAATATTGTGGTTTTGCGACAAAAATTTTCCTTCTCTCCTCAATCTCTTTTATCTCTCTTTCTACTCCGTTCCACGAAATTCAAAATGATCTGGGAGCAGTAAATATAATCTCCTTTTATGCATGTAAATTGTTGAATGATACGTTTTAAATTGTTTTTAATAACATATACATTTCAATTAATTAGGATTTTCGTAACTTTTCGTATGCTAAATAATAAGTCAAATAATTATAATAAACAGTACCTAAACAAAAATTACTAGTCGTTGTTGAAACTACCTGGGACTCTAATGTTTTCTGACGTTTGTGTAATTCTGTGCCTCATCAGTCATCAACTTATCATTGACATTGGTGTCAAGATTCATTTTACTAATACCATGTTTAGATTTTAAATTATAATTTATAAATTTTATTTCATTTGAACTTACTTTTTTAACTTAAAGAAGTAAATTTATAAATCATAATTCATCTGTAAAAAATTTTATGTAAATAATTTTTCGGTAAAAATAATGTTTAAATTTGTGGATGAAAAATATTTTAAAATGTATAATTATTAATTAAATATAAAATATTGTTAAAATAATATTATAACATTAAAATATAAAAACATTTTATTTAAACAATGAAATTTTCTTTATTGAAAAACAATAATATTTTGTTGCTTTTGTAATTAAGCAAAAAAATCATAGTTCAAATGCAAATTTAATTTTACTATAAAATTGTCAAAGTATAAATTTTAAGAGAAAATATTTTCTACATTTACTGTAGATATTATCTCTCTACCGACATTAAATTTGAGGGAGAGAAATCATATTTTAATGGAAGAGAAAAATATGATGAGAGAGAAATGAAAATTTGTGTCTGAGACAAAGAGATAATTGTTGCAGTAAATACAAAATTCATTTCCCCAAATTTAAATCATGTTTGGAATGCCAAAATCAATTCTATAAATTATAAATATTTTTCCATACATGCTTTTAAATTAGTGATGACATTTCGTATAACGAGTTGTATTTATATTGAGTCAAAATTTGATATGAACACAAATATCCTTGACATGAATATCACATAGATTAAGATTTGTATCAAAACTTTTAAAACGAACATGATTTGCTATTTTGCATGAATAAATTATTAGTATTAAAACTTTTATTACGTAAATTGACACATATAAATAATGTGGAAAAAAATTAACGCAAGTTAATATTATATTTATGAATTGACATATAGCATGACACATGTCGTGTCAAAAGTTAGCACCTCTACTTTTAACTCCGAAGTCAATATTAATAATGTAAATTAGACACAAAAACAAAAGCAAGGAAATTTTATGATTATAATTTTTTTTTTTTTTTTTTTTAAATCTTGAATCTAAAAACTCATACGCTTATGCGCCTAAGTGCTGGAACAGTTACTTTCATCATTTCATGATGTACTTTTATCTGTATTAATTTTTTTTTTCACATGTGGTAAAATTATTTCTTATAACCTCATAAACGTTATTTTGGAATTTGAAGAAAAAAAAAATAAAAGACATGAAAACACGGACTATAAACTTGACGGACTCCAATAATTGTCCTTATTTATTTTTCTGTTGTATTTTTCTCCGCATGAGGTCTGTGTCATTTACAGATTTAGTCCTCGTGTAAACATTCTTTCCGTTTAGTTTATCCTAAAAGTGCCATTGCTCTTCTGTGCTGATTGGTTAGCCAAGTCTGCTCTTCACAAAGATACTGGATTATGGAGTCATAGAGTTATGCCGTTTCACCTTGCTCAGTTATTTGATTACGATCTTCAGGGAATCTCCTCTTGTAGGGATATAGACCCTGGATAGTTATTTTTTGTTTCTGGATGTTAGTTTGTTTTTGTTTGGGACTTCGCCCCTTAATGTTATATAAAAAAAAAAAAAAGTGCCATTGCAGATTACTAAAAAAAAAATTGCCAATGCAGTATTTACAATTGGTATGCATCTAAAAAAAAATTCAATAATAAAAACATGTATATAGTTACAGTAGTAATTTCTGCTGGAAAAAAGTCATAACAAATTCATCATAATTGTATACTGTTGGGATAACTTATTAAATGCAAAAATTAGTTATATTTGACATACGTTGACTCAAAGATTCCTTTTGGCTTAAAGAAAATCACAATAATTGTCGATATTGCGGAGACCAACATTGCTACCCTCTCTGCTATCAAGTATTAAGCACTGACACTTTAAAAATCTTGATATCTTATATCCGATATTTTTTATGATTTTGATACTCTTCGACACTCCAGCGCACGTTAGAGAAACTCAAAAAAAGATTCAAAGGTTGTGTTGCGTTGCGTTGCGTTTTTAGTTCTAACTATTAGATTCGTTGGATTACTATTACCATTTTATTGAATTTAATATGAATATTTGTGATATCTTATGTTTTCTTTGCAAAATTAATAGATATTATAAGTTTAGCTTTATTTTTTTGTTAAACTATTGAATATTAAATATAATATATGCAATATAAATTAAAAATATTATTTAATATGAAAACATGTCCTAACATATTAAAATCTAACATTTTTCAAAATTAATATATCTGAGTATTGTATTATGTTGTGTACCGTATCAAAATAGTGTTGCATAGTCTTTATGTATATTTATCATGGGATAACAACTTCTTCTATTGTACGAGAAATTGTTATCTTCCAAAGGACACAAAATTAGGAGACAGGAGATGAGAAGAGGTGAGACAAAAATAATAGAAGTGAAGGTCATTATTTAATGTATCTATAATACAAGCTCATTTTTGGTGGTCTGAGCCTTGGTGGGACTTGTCCAAAACTAGAAAAAAAAAAAAAGCCTGAAAAGAAATTTAAAAAAAAGATAAGGGTATAAATAAAAGAGAATTTTTCTTATTTTGGAAAAGGAGCATCCAATAAATCATGCACCGGGTGCATGTTAAAAAAATCCCTATAATATCATAGGATATTTGTCATGTCACATAAGAAATATAAAATCCATTTATCATTCATGCGCAGCCTCTTTTTTTCATCTTGGTGGTAAGATATTCGTGGACCTGATTTGTCCCAAGAAAAAGTATAATTAAGGTTGTAGAATAAATAAAAGGTTTAATATTTCTCGTTAAGAGATAATTTTATCTCGTATACATCAACATCAACAATATTTTTATCCCAAATTAATTGAGGTCGGTAGTAGATGAACCCAAATAAAAAATACAAAAAAGATGAAAAAAGAAACATAAAATAAAAATAAAAATAAATGAATAGAATAGTAATAATATATATATATATATATATATATATATATATATATATATATATATATAAGTAAAAAAAAAGGGAAAAGAAGAGGAGGGGGAAATGAAGGAGAAAAGGACTAAAAAGGGACCATCTGGAACATAGGAATAACAACGGGTCTAACCTTTCACCATGCTTATAGCTTTTCTCCATTCCGTTTTAAGGCATACCGTCCGCCAATCTATATCTCACTCTATTAAATCTTGTTTTACTACCTTCCCCCAAATAAGTTTCGGTCTACCTCTACTTTTTTTGTGTTGAGCTCTTGGTAACAAACTTTTGTTCTTACGGGAGCATCCAAAGGCCTTCTCATTACGTGCCCAAACCACCTCAATCTATGTTCTCTCATCTTCTCAGCCACCGGTAGTACTTCTACCTTTCGTCGAATATCTTTATTTCTTATCTTATCCATCCTCGTATAACCACACATTCACCTTAACATCCTCATTATCTTTGCTACTCCCATTTTACGCTCATGTTGCCTATGTGCTGGCCAGCATTCAGCTCCATATAACATTGGAAGTCTTACTGTTGTTCTATAGAATTTTTCTTTTAACTTAAAGGGGGTTTTGCGGTCACACAAAAACTCAGATGCACTACGCCATTTCATCCACCCTGCTTTGATTTTATAATTTACATCCTCATCAATCTCTCCACCTTTTTGCAAAATGAAGCTAAGTATCTAAAAACATCTTTCTTGGGTACTTCTTGACCACTTAGATGCACGGGATCTTGTAGCGACACCTATGTGGGGTCATGTGAGGATAAAAGAAAACAAAAAATTAAACATCACATACTTTTATGTGTATATAAGAAATAAATTTTATCTACTATAATATAAGAAATCTTAATTTAATAAATAAAAAGCAAAAATCAAAAGCCAACAGTTGATGGCATAATGGTAATGATCACGGAACCATGTCGACTAGAAGTGTGTGTATCCACAAGGTGAGGTCTATAAATGCTAAGTTAGTTTCTTCAAAGAGATCAAAGCATAGTAGGAGATAGAGTTCTCTCATTCTCATCTCAGAGAGGGAAAACCCTTCTTGATATTCCTTGTTTCCATCTAAGGGATCAAAAGGGTAAAGGGGAAAAAGGAAAAGAGAGAAAGGGAGAGAGAGGTTTGTGCTGTTGTTGAGTAAACAAAAGATAAATATGACTGTGGAAGAGGGAAGGGTCGTTAGTGAGGAATACACACAAGATGGAACCGTGAATCTTAAGGGGAAACCTATTCTTAGATCCAAAAGTGGTGGTTGGAAAGCTTGCTCCTTTGTAGTTGGTAATCTCTTTCTCTTTTTATTTTATAATTTTCATACTCTAATTACTCTACTGTGAAGTTCTTCTTTGAAACGTGTGGAAGGTTGATAACAAAAAGCACTTGATTTTTAATTAGTTCCCTTTGCTTATTAGACCCTTAAATAGACATTGTTCTTTGTTTGCCCCGTCTCCTAGGATGTGGTTAACTTACTATGCATAATTGATCCTGCCCCTTCTGCTTTGTGCCAGTCTCATATATTTTGTCATGTTAGCACACGTTTTCAAAACTATACCACAATTTTAAGATATATGTTTTGATCTGTAACTATTCGTCGTTTCTCAAAACTTTCTTCTTCGACTATTCGTATTCTGCAGCTCTCTGCAACTGCAAGATGTTGATGAGGAAAAAAAAAAATGGTTTTTATTTCTTGCTTTACTTTCAACCTTCATCCTGCACTTAGTATTAATTAACTGAGGAGTAAATTTCTGAAATTCATGGTGCAATTTTCCCCCTTGCTAAACTGGGCAGCATATGATGGTGCCTGCTAATTCAGTCCTTGCATACATATTTTCTTTAATTTGTTTGATGCGCATCATAGAAATATGGGTTTTATTAATCTCATGTTAAAGGAGATAGTTATCTCATGTCACAGAGATAAATTTGTGGGCTCCACCACCTGAAAAAAGAAAAGAAAAGAAAAGAAAAAGGTGGCACAGTTATCGAATGGTGTGTAGGAGATAAAATGTATCTTATGTAACATAAGAAAAGTTTTTCCCTAGAAATATATATATGAATTACTCCCACACTTTGTAACTCACTTTTCTCACATACTTAAACATTTAAAATGATTGCAATCAGCCCAAAACGACGTCGTTTTCAGATAAAAATCAAAATATTTTTATAATTTTAATTTATTTTTAAATTATAATAGTATTTATAATTATAATTTTTTAATATTTTAACACCAAAACAATATTATTTTGAGAATAAATGCAGATAATTTATCTGCAGTAATAACTGTAAAAACATTTTTATGATTTTTCAATCATTAGATTAGTTTTAATTGTTTTGTCTTATTAAAGCTTACTGGTTGAATTTCTTAAGCTAATGAAATATTGACATATCATCAATTCTTATTGAACAAAGTAATATTAAATACACCATCATATTAATTATGTGAAAGTACTTTATTAAGCATAATATATCCGAAATGAATTTACACTGAATTGATACAAAATCCAGGTTGTAATATTTTTTATTTAATTTTTTTTACGTTTTTTTTTTAAAGTAAAACAAATAATATCTTATTCTGGATCATGAAATATATACCACAATAGTTTGTAAGTTATATTTTCTCTTATTTTATAAGGCAAAAGCTTTTTGTTACAGCAAGAAGTACACAAAAAGATTTATTATTATTATTATTATTATTATTATTATTATTATTCAGTGATAGTGAAGATCTTATTTTAAATTTCTAATTGACTAAAGGCTTCAAATTGAATTGTCACCGATACATGTTTTTAAAATATATTATGACAAAATGTTCTTTTAAATTATATGTAATTGTGTGATTTTAAGACAAACAAAAGAATAATATAGTATTTTTTATTTAAATTTTAAATTTTTTAAAAATCATTCACTTTTTTTCTTATAATTTTCGTTGCTTATGATTTTTTCTCACTTAAAATAATATAATTTTATGTTCTTTAAAAAGACAAACATTAAACTTATATATTATAAGATAGGGAAATAATTATCTCATGTTACATGAGATAATTATCTTATGCAACAGAGACAAAGTAGTGGAGTCCACATTATTTTTTTACATGAGATAATTATCTTATGCAACATGAGATTAATAGATTCCTATATAGGAAATGTGTTTCTTATGTTACATAAGACAATTTGTTTCATGCAATACACAAAAAATGGATGAAATCCACCTTTTTTGTTTCTCTCTCTTCTTCAAAGTGGATCATACATGTTTGTTATATGTTGCATGAGACAAATATATATATATATATATATATATATATATATATATAGGAAAAAATATTTTTCCGGCAACTTGAGATAAGTTTATCTCCGGCCACCCTAAAACTACGTCGTTTTCTTTATATTTCTTTATAAGCCGATATATATATATATATAGGAGAGAGATCTTTTGACTCTAGAGTAAGACTTACAATTCTTACTCCTCATCTCAACCGTTGATTTCCGTTCATCGGTTGAGATAGATAACAGTTAGATGGACAGAAACCAATGGTTGAGATGAGGAGTAAGAGTTATCAGTCTAGTCAAAAGATCCCTCCTTATATATATATATATATATATAGGTAGGATCCTTTGACACTAGTGTCAAATTTGAAGTTTGACACCTCATCTGAGAGCCATTAGATCAAAAAAGATCAATGGTGTCACATGCTTACAAATCAGAGTCATTTTTTGATCTAATGGCTCTCAGATGAGGTGTCAAATTTTAAATTTGACACTGGTGTCAAAGTATCCTACCTCGTGTATATATATATATATATATATATATATATATATAACAGATTTTATCCTAGCCTACACAAACCGCATATCAAAACATAACCGCTTCTGTAACCAAAAAAAAAAAAAAGCGCACAACCGCTTCATGTCTAAGTCAACAGTTAAAGAGCTTCAATGTCATTAATATACATGACGTGTAAAAAATCGACAAAAAAGTTTAAATTATTAAGTGAATTAATTTTTATTATTTTATATTATACAAACCTTTTTGACGGAAGCGTTGATTTGTTTTGGTTGAATACATGGATATACTGCAGTGTACGAGATATTCGAAAGGATGGCTTATTATGGGATATCATCAAATTTGATCCTGTATCTGACAAAAAAGCTTCACCAAGGCACAGTAACCTCTGCAAATAATGTCACTAATTGGGTTGGCACCATTTGGATTACACCCATATTAGGTGCCTACGTTGCTGACGCTCACTTAGGCCGCTATTGGACATTTGTCATTGCCTCTACCATTTATCTCTCGGTAAGTCTGTCAATACCATACTATTTCTATAACTTTCTTTTTATGAAAATTTTCCTCATAAGAATTTTTTAATTCACTCATTTTTAATGTAATTTAACTTATCACCTGTAATATAGAAAAATAAAAAGTGGAGACCATGTAAAAAGAGAAGTTGGGAATTTCAATTAAGAGGAAAACAATTGAAGAGTTGTTTTCCCCAATTTATTTATGGAAAATTATTTTCTTATTATAGAAAAAATATTATTTCATATAATAAAAATAAAATATAAATAGAATCTATAAATATATAAGAGAAATAAAACACAGAGATAGGATTCACCTCTATTGTATTGAAACTTTGTCAAATCTAACCTTTTATTTATATAGGTAACCATCTAATAATTCGTTGATACATCAGTCAAACAGTTTGACTTCTCGTATTATTGTTATTTTCTTAATAACAATTTTAAAACAATTTGCCACAAATAATTAGATCCTTGCATTGGATTTAGTCAGCAAATGAGAACATCTAGAATGTCCAGATAGGCCTTATCCACCACCCTCGAGTGCCCCTTACCTTGCCCCGTCCCACATGGGTGAGCGTGAGTTTGAGATTAATTCGGTTTGCCGCATCATATATCTTACATTTAATTTTGTTATTAATAAATTATATTATTTTGGTTTTTGTTTTAATTTTATATTTATATGAGATAGCTAATTACTTTTAGTCAGGATAAAGACATTTATTGTATGAATTTAAAAATATTTATGAGTTTGGACGAAATGAGAACAAGTTTTGATATTTTTCTTATAAAACGGGTGTGAACTTTATTTCTTAAAGTCAAACCGTTCCAACCACTGTCAGTGCATTTCAACTCCTAACTCCCACGTGTTAGACAGGGAGGGACAAGATTAGCCAAAATCTTTGGTCCATGTACCCTAGTTTTGAATAAATAAATATAATGATTATATAGACTTTGATCTTAACCTTTTAAGTCGGCATATTTTGACCACGATAATGATTCTATTAATTTGACGGTGAAACGAATATAATGTATATTATTTTAAATGACATAAATTTATCTCATTTTAAGAGAGAAATAGATATAAAAAAGTGATATTTATATTTTTTTTCTTTATTTTTTAGTGGGATTCATATCTTTTTGTGTCTCTTTCTTAAAAAGATCTAAATTTGTATCATTTAAAAGGACACACACTTTTCTCACTAATTATTGTGAGTTTAATTTTTCTGTATTATCAATTATTTTTTATAATATCTTTCAACTTTATAATAATGCTTTATTAATAAATTTATGAATTCAATATCTCTCGTATAGTAGGAGATAATTAATTTTATCTCTTATTCACTTAAAAGTATATAAGTATAATTTTTTTTCTTTTTTTTCTCTACACATGATCTCACATGAGCTTCACATAATTTTATGTGTGAATAGGAAATAATTTTATTTCTTAAGAAACATCAAATTACTTATATTAACAATTATGTAAAATGTCAAATTTATCAAATTATATAAGAATAAATAATTAAATATAAATGTAAAACTTATTTACTTAATCAAAATTTAATGCATTATATAAATGTTCCAGAAGTCTACATTTTTTTTTTCATAATGCTTGTTTGTTTGTATATATATAATATGTAGCTATCATAAACTTTATTCCTTTTATAAATAAAGACCATTCTTTTATTAAATGGAGTCTCATATAAATTAATAAGAAAAGTTCTTATACAGAGCGCATAATGTAATTTATGCACTAGATTAATTAAAATGGTTTAGAATGTTGAACTTCCACGTCCTATCATATAGTATATGTCCATTGCTGATTAATGTGCACAAAAATCTGTCATTAAATAACCAACCACCTAAAGCTAGTAGGGTAACACTTTTTTTTTTTTTTTTTGGGTAAGCAGTAGGGTAACACTTTCAACCTTTCTGTATTGAAGAATTTCCAACCTTTTTGACTGTAATATTGCTATTAGGATAAGTCTAAAGTAGCTATCGGTGGACCAATAATGCACTAATTGGTGATACAAGACAAACAAAAGAATCTCGAACCATACCCCGTGATCATATGGAACATAACCTTGACTTTTTAGGGTGGATCAATTATGAGAGTTGTTATATTATTTTAATAAGTATTAAGATGAGTTGTGAAATATTTATTAATTGATAATTTTATAATAAATATCATGTAAAAAATGCGCAGGAGTAATGCTTATAGATAATTATATATTTTTCCTTTTTATTAAAAAAATCGAAAGTCATTCCATAAATTTCATTTTAATTTATTGTTGTATTACTTTTTTATGTTATTTTTATTATCATTTGTTGATCATTAGTTGAAAAGTTTGATATCTTATTGTAATTAAATTATTTATTAAATCTAATAATATATAACACTCACAATAGATTAGAATTGAATTTTTTTTAATTATGATTTCTAGAAAAGGTATGTCTTTGGCAGAATTTAAATAGAATTTGCCGATATAAATAGGGGAAAAAGTTGTTTGTCATTTTAAATGACACTTATTGTATCTTTTTACTCTTACAGAGAGGTGAGACTTATCTTTAAATTTTTTTCCATCCATTTTTTTTTTATTATCTATTTCTTTGTCTCATTTAAAATGATATAATTTTATATTCTTTAAAATAATAGATATTTTTTTATAAATATAGCGAAAGTATTGAAATTTGACCCGTGACAGTGCTGTCTCAGAAAAAGACACTAAGGTAGTAGGAAAGTGTCACGGTCAGTTTGTGTTCACAATAAGGAATCCTTAGTGGACCGCGCTTTTCATGGTTGAATGTTCCTGCAGCCAAAATATGGTTCTAACTTCTAAGGTCCAATTACAGGTTAGCATGTTTTTGTCCTTACATGCAATAAAAATTTCAAGGTAGGAACATGGTGCGTGTGTGGACCTAATGGGTTCAAGCACAATAAGGACAGGTAGCAAGTTGTATAGAAGAATCTAATAGCAGAAACAAAATTGTCTATTCAGACTTCCCAAGTTAAAGTAAAATTACTTGGGCAACGTTTAGAAGTTGAATAATAGAATAAAGTGAAAATGGGATACCTGTTTTTTATATACTTTCTATATATTTATCGTTCCAAGTAATTATGATATAATTTTCATTCTAATCTTCTATTTTTCACATACTCGACAAATCAACTGATATATCGGGATGAACTTTTTAAAAAATAAAATAAAATAAAAATAAAAATAAAAATCTATACAACTAAATTCATTTCAACCAGTGTTGTGTATCTTATAATTCATTTCCTTTTTTTGGGGGAGTGTGGTGTTGGGAATTTATACATTATGTAGTTATCCACATCGAAATCAATCCTGTCATGACTGGTTTAATTACTGTATGTTCAAATTTCAATGTCCTTTATCATGTGGTAGTATATGATACATTATAGTAATAAACTAGTTACATTGATAATAAATTGGAATTTAATTAATATGATTATTTATAAGATAATGAATTAGGGTAAGGAGTCCACGGGTTTTGACTCATTTGTTTTTGTTTCTTCTTAAACGAAAAGACAATTTAGCATCTCGAGGATTGGAATTCATGAGAAGGGAGCTCCTATGCTTTACTTGCTTGCAATAATCTTCCTTAAACTATATATTTGGGTTGAGTTTTCCTCCCCAATTTTTGTTCTTTACCTCTAACCAACTTCACAATTTTTATATGCATACAGAAAAAGGCATTGTAGAATAACCTCATAACACAGTTATCCAGGTAGAGATATTAAAGACACAGTTAGACCAATGTAAAATAGATTTTATTACTTCCATAATCTTAATCGGTTCGATAACTTGTTGGACAAGAAATTCATGGTTATGCAAACTGTTTCGTGTTTAAAAAGAATTGTCATGTTAATTCTCTGGCAGGGTATGTCTCTGCTTACACTAGCAGTGTCCCTTCCTAGCCTAAAGCCACCTCAATGCTCTGTAGCGGATGTGACAAAATGCAAGAAAGCCTCCACGCTACAGCTAGCTGTGTTCTATGGTGCACTTTACACTCTAGCTGTGGGAACTGGTGGAACTAAGCCCAACATCTCCACCATTGGAGCTGACCAATTTGATGATTTTCACCCTAAAGAGAAGTCACATAAGCTCTCCTTCTTCAATTGGTGGATGTTCAGCATCTTCTTTGGAACCCTCTTTGCAAACACTGTTCTAGTGTATATCCAAGATAATGTGGGATGGACTCTTGGGTATGCTCTTCCAACTCTTGGTCTTGCAGTATCAATCATGATATTCTTGGCAGGCACACCCTTCTATAGACACAAATTGCCTGCAGGGAGTACCTTCACTAGAATGGCTAGGGTCATAGTTGCTGCTTTAAGGAAATGGGAAGTGCCTATTCCTCGTGACCCTAAAGAATTATTTGAACTTGATATGGAAGGGTATGCAAAGAAAGGCAGTTACAGAATTGATAGCACTCCAACATTGAGGTATAAAATTCTATTCTACTTTCTACTCCACTTGATGTTTGTAGTTTTACTATGCAATTATCATGTGTTTGTAAAAACATATACATGTATTTATATATATATATATGCAGGTTCCTCGACAAGGCCTGTGTCAAAACAGATTCAAGTACTAGTCCATGGATGCTATGCACTGTTACCCAAGTAGAGGAGACAAAACAAATGCTAAGGATGATTCCCATCTTGGTTGCTACATTTGTTCCTAGTACAATGATGGCTCAGATAAATACCCTTTTTGTAAAGCAAGGAACTACCCTTGACAGACACATTGGGAGCTTCAAAATTCCCGCAGCAAGTTTAGCTGCATTTGTTACTTTGTCCTTGCTTATCTGTGTTGTGCTCTATGACCGTTTCTTTGTCAAGATTATGCAGAGGTTTACCAAGAACCCCAGAGGGATTACACTTCTTCAAAGAATGGGAATTGGTCTTGTAATTCACACAATGATTATGATAATTGCATCTGGTACTGAAAGTTATAGACTTAGAGTGGCAAGAGAACATGGGTTGGTTGAAAGTGGAGGACAGGTTCCTTTGAGCATATTCATTTTGCTTCCTCAGTTTATAATTATGGGAACAGCTGATGCTTTCTTAGAGGTTGCAAAAATTGAGTTTTTCTATGACCAGGCACCAGAAAACATGAAGAGCCTTGGGACTTCATATTCCTCAACTACCTTAGCCTTTGGCAATTTCATAAGTTCCTTTCTTCTCACAACCGTATCACACATCACTAAGGAACATGGTCACAAAGGGTGGATTTTGAACAATCTCAATGATTCTCGTCTTGATTACTACTATGCATTCTTCGCAGTACTAAACTTCCTGAACCTCATCTTCTTCGTGATTGTCTCAAGATTCTATGTATATAAGGCTGAAGTTTCAGATTCCATAGAAGTGCTAGCAAAAGAACTGAAGGAAAAGAAAGAGTCTTATCTAACGGAAGAAGATTAGGATATATGAATTTCAAAACTGCTATACTTAGAACTTTGGATTGCCAAAGAACTATATTTATAATATATAGGTTTTGGTACTTGGATTAGCGCGTGATCATTTTTCCTTATCCTGTGCGGCTGTTGAGAAATGGCACGCGCGTCTCGAAAGGAATGTAACCTCTTTGAAGGTGTTTTTTTTTCCTTTTTTCGTTTTTAATCCTTTTAGGCCAATGCAGCTTTTTTATCAGGAAATTGTAAAATAAAAGGTTGATGGAAAAAAAATCTGTCAGGTTAGATTTTTATTTTCATTGCTCTATACAAACTGCTATAATATGAAGAAAGTATGGTGGGAAATCAGATGTTACAAAGATTGGAAAGTTTAGTACTAATTTAACTGTTAAACTAAATTCAGGCAGTTGGAAAATCTTGTTCCGGAAAAATAAAAAACTTTGAGAAACTGGTTTTGTGAAAAAGGGTGCTTATTTTTGTTTTGTAAATTCTGTTTTGTAGAAATTAACGTATAGAAGGACTTTTTTCTGAGTAAGGGTTCGGGTGAAATTTCAGATGTACACTAAATTCGGTCTATTTTGGCTTTGTCCACCAGGATCCATTATATCAGTTTGTGTTACTTCTTCAATTTTCCCTTCCACCTGCAATAAAAAGAAAAATCTCCCCGTTAAACCCGATCAGCGAGTGTGGGGTGGAGGTAATCCTTGTACGCAGCATTACCCTTGCATAATTGCAAAGAAGCTATTTCCTGGATTCGAACATTGGTAAGTATATTAGTTCCAGAAGAATTCTAGTCTTTAGTACTTAGTAGTATCTTTTACCGAATTTGAAAGAAAAAGGCAAGAACAACTGAATGTTTTTGTCATCCCAAAAGGTATGATTACTTGAAGATGTGATATCCTCTGCAATTTCTGGCTCCATATTCTTGATCTTCCATGCTGGAGAAAAAAACATATCAAGTTGAAAATACTTGCTATAAGTGAGGGAAATGATAATTAGCTGTGCTTGATTTGAATGCTTCTGACAGCATGAGATACTTAAATATTGTCCTGCGGTGCTATTATGTTCATTCACTTAAAAGCCTTACTAATGTGTGGGTAAGTCCACGGTTAATTATGAACCTCCACAAAAGTCGAGCCACAAATAACATATACATTAGAAAGACATTCATTTTACCAGAGTTCCATTGTTACATAGTGGAAGTTAGATACTCACAAGCTGCAAAAAGGCATTTCTTAACAAAATTGCTTCGCTTTTCTGCCATTTTGGTTCCTCATTATATTGATATTACTTTTCCCTTTTTAGTTGCCACTAAAATTTGAGCCTACTTGTTTAATGTTGGGATCATACTTGTTTTATGTATCTTCCAGGTACAATTACTATATTATTTGGAGTTAGTGAGAGTGAAGGCTCAGTCATCATGCTTGCAACGTATGCCTGTGCCTCAGTTTAACTCACTCTATGGTGCTCATTCTTCATGTGGCTTGTATTATAGTTGTCTTGTGATTCCCTTTTTTGTGATGTTTCATTGTCAATTTTGTTAGAGCAATGCATATAATGATCTTAGAGATGCTTACTTATAGAAAACTAAGAGGATTTGAATATGTTGTTATATTTAATGAAATGGCTGATAGCCAATATATACACAAGTCGGTTATACAGAATCAAGGAGGATCAACTAGAATAAAGTATACTGTTCAACAAACTATACATGGAATAATAACAAACTATTCTTGCTAAAAACTAGGACTTAGTTGCTAAAGGATAAGATCAAAGGTGATCTTCTCCTAACACGCCCCCTCAAGTTGGAGCATGAAGTGACGAAATGCCCAACTTGCTGCGAAGAAAACTGAATTGCTTCATGCCAAGCGGTTTGGTAAATATGTCTGCGAGTTGTTGATCTGTACGAACGTAGGTAGTAGTGATTGTATTGTTGAGAACATGATCGCGTACAAAATGACAATCAATCTCTATATGTTTGGTACGTTCGTGGAAAACTGGATTAGCAGCTATTTGCATGGCAGATTGGTTATCACAGTGCAACTGCATAGGGTGTGAATGTGGAACATCAAGCGAGTCCAGAAACGATTTGATCCATAACAACTCAGCTGTAGCTGCTGCCATTGAACGATACTCAGCTTCAGCGGAGGAGCGAGACACTGTGGGTTGCTTCTTTGTTTTCCAAGAGATAGGAGAAGTACCCAACATGATAAAATAACCAGTAACTGATCGACGGGTGAGTGGACAGCTAGCCCAATCCGAATCAGAATATCCACGAAGAAGGAGATCATTGTCGGATCGAAGGAGTAAACCTTGGCCAGGATCAGTTTTGATGTACCTTAAAACGCGGATGACAGCATCATATTGAGCAATAGTAGGATTTTGCATGAACTGGGAAAGAACATGGACGGAGTAACTTAACTCAGGTCTAGTAATTGTCAAGTAAACCAAACGTCCTATGAGTCTTCTGTAACGTGCGGGATCCGAGAATGGAGGACTTTCTGTAACTGCAAGCTTATGATTTGTTTCGAGAGGGAAGGCACATGGTTTGCATGCAAGGAGACCAGCGTCTTCCAATATGTCGAGAGCGTACTTTCGTTGGCTCAGAAAAAGACCTGATGGACCGTGAGCTATTTCGATGCCAAGAAAATATTTAAGAATCCCCAAATCCTTGATGTGAAAGCATGACTGGAGAAAGACCTTGACATCGGTGCATAAGGCATCATTGTCGCCCGTTAGAATAATGTCATCAACGTAGATGAGAAGAGCAACAAAGTGGCCATCTTTGTGTAAGGTAAATAGGGTGTAATCTGCCTTGGATTGGATGAAGCCATATGATTCAATGGAAGACCGCAACTTAGCAAACCAATTGCGAGGGGACTGCCGCAAACCGTAGAGAGATTTACGTAAGCGACATACTTGATGTGGTTTGTGATGATTGAAACCTTGTGGAACGCGCATGTAAACTTCTTCGGTAAGGTCTCCGTGTAGAAAGGCATTCGTAACATCCAACTGGTATAGGTGCCATGATTTGGCAGCAGCTACCGCAAGAAGTGTTCGGACACTCACCATTTTGGCTACAGGAGCATTCGAAATCTTGGAGATATGATGGAGGACGGCGAGAACGGTGACCACGTCCCAAAGGTGCAGATGGATGTGTGACTTCTGGGGGCTGTTCTTGTCGGATAGAAAGCTCATTGGAGACAGTAGGGGCAGATTCGGGCTGAGCCTGTTCAACAGGGAGAGTGTCTTCAATTAAAGGGACAGGGTTGGTAACAACTTGGGAATCAAAGGATGGGCTTTGTGGAGCAAGGGTTGGTTCGGGTGATATGGGGTTATGGGGGTTTGGGTCGTGAGGAATATCAGTGGTAGGAATGACTGTGGTTGGTGCAAAAGGAAAGGTGTTCTCTTCAAATACCACGTCTTTGGATACAAAAACAGTATGTGTTTCAAGGTTATAAAGCCTCCAACCCTTTTTGCCAAAAGGATATCCCAGGAACAGACACCGAGTTGATCGAGCTGCAAACTTTTCCAACGGTTTGGGACGTGGATGAGCATGGCAAAGACATCCGAATATGAGAATATGATCATAGCTGGGTGTGCGGTTGAAAAGACATTCATATGGTGTTTTTCCTTGGAGAAGAGGAGTGGGGGTTCTATTAATTAAATGTACCGCAGTTAGAACACATTCACCCCAAAACTCGATAGGAAGACTAGCTTGAAAGCGTAATGCTCTTGCAACATTCAAAATATGTCTATGTTTCCGTTCAACACGACCATTCTGCTGTGGTGTGTCTACACATGATGTTTGATGTATAATTCCCATATCGGAATAAACCTTGCGGAGATTATGAGCACAAAATTCTGATCCATTGTCGGAGCGTATTATTTTGACCATGGTATTAAACTGATTACGTACCATGAGAAGAAATCGAGTTAAGTATTGGAACGTTTCAGACTTGGTGGTCATTAAATAAACCCAGACGTTTCTGCTATAATCATCCACAATTGTTAAAAAATATCTTGCACCGATTAGAGAGGTAGTTTGATATGGACCCCAGATATCGCAGTGAATAAGATCAAAGCATGCAGTAGTTTTATTAATGCTAATAGGGAATACAGTACGAGTTTGTTGTGCGGGTAGGCAAATGTCACAAACTGAAGGAGAATGACCCCTATTTTTATTCACTGTAACAAAAGGAAGAAAGCTTAAAAACTGAAATGAAGGGTGACCCAATCGACGGTGCCAAACATCTGCATTCTGTTGAGTGTGAGCCGCACATGCAGTAGAGATGGATTTGTTGTTGGATGAGTCATGCACATAAACACCAGCTTGCAATCTACCCAGTCCAGTCTTGATCCTCGTTATGGGGTCCTGCAATTCACAGCCATTGTGAGTAAAAGAAATGATGCAATTTGTATCAGCAAGTAATTGAGCAACTGATATGAGGTTGCATTGTAATTTGGGAACATATAACACATTCTGAAGAGAAATATGAGATGTCAACTTGAGACTGCCACTGTGATTGGAAACAAGTTGATCACCATCAGGTAAACCTATTGTAGTGGGTGGAATAGATGTAACATTGGAGATTAAATGGAGGTTCCTTGTCATGTGTTGAGAAGCGCCACTATCCACCAACCAGGCTCTGATACCATATAGAAAACTAAGAGGATTTGAATATGTTGTTATATTTAATGAAATGGCTGATAGCCAATATATACACAAGTCGGTTATACAGAATCAAGGAGGATCAACTAGAATAAAGTATACTGTTCAACAAACTATACATGGAATAATAACAAACTATTCTTGCTAAAAACTAGGACTTAGTTGCTAAAGGATAAGATCAAAGATGATCTTCTCCTAACATTACTCTACGTTAAAACCAAAATATATTGGACAGGGCGAAGGTATATGTAAAGATATGTTCTATGTACAAGTGCAAAAAAGCATTTAGAGTGTAACTTCTTTCTAGTTTTTCACATAAGGAGATAAAAAAGAGAGGTACAAAAGCCTTGTATTGAGGCTCCATCATAATTTGTGGAGTTTTATTCAAAATATTTTTCTATCTTTCCTTTGAGGTGATCTTGATATCTGAAAAAAAATGAGTGAATTCATTTACTCCCTCCCCATATATGATGTAATTTCTGTATTTTTTAACAGAACATTTCAGGATACATTTAACAAATGATTTTAACATTCAAAAAAAAAAAAAAAAAAACAAAAAATACAGGAACACGTCGTATAAATGATACAAATAGAAATCGAACGTGCCTTATATGAGTAAAAGTTTATCGTGCACACACTGACTCGCATCATTTTGTACAAATGATTTTAACTTATGTTGGGCTGTTGTTTCGTTGGGCCCTTTATATCTTTTAATATAGGTCCAAATCAGTATGAAAAATAAATAAGAATGCAAAATTTAAATAAAATAAAACTAATAAGTGTATTTTTTTTATTTTACGAATATTTTAAATTCCAGTAAAATATATACAATTAACTAGAAGAAAAATTTTAAATTGAAAAATTTTAAATTTTAAATGAAATATGTATAATAATTTAGGGTTTAATATTTTTGTTTGTGTTGTAGACATTTTTTTTTGTCACACTCACATAAAAATAAGTAGATCTAAGTAACTAACCTTTTTTCTCTGGCTTCTCTTTGTAACGAGACTAATTCACTTTTATATAACTTGTATTAGAGAAAACTTTTTTGCAGGAAAAGCAAAAATATTATTCTCAATAATTTAAGTAAAATATAATTAATGAGTATATCAAAACAAATTTAAATTATAAAAAACAATAATAATTTTAAAAAACTGAATTTAAATTTTAAATTAAGAGAAATTAAAAATGACATGTGCTAATTTTTAACCAAAAGTAAATTAAAAGATTTATTAAGAATTAATAGTGTTATGATTGTAATGGTAACAAAGAAAGTAAAAAATATAAGAAGTACGTAAGAAATATGGGAAGAGTTATGTTTACAAATTTTTTATTTATAAATCTTACAAACTACATTATGTACTCCTGAAAGTAGACTTCATTAAGAATATACTCTCGGGAGTACATAATGTAATTTGTAAGAGTTTGTAAACAAAAAAAATTGTAAATATAACTTATCCCAAGAAATATAATAACGTATTCCATTGAATTAATTTTAATTTATTATATAATCAATATTATATTGGTCCTCTATTAATAATATCGTAAAGTATTCTTTTAATGTCAATAAATATTATCAAAGAGATTCTTCAAATTTCGTTGAATTAATTATTTAATAGATAAAATGATAAAATTAATTAGGATCAATTTAATGCGTCCAAAAAAAAGCACAAAAATTTATGTTAATTGTCTTTTGAGAACAAAATGGTTCTGTTTCACTGGTGGAGGGAAGGAGGGAAACGACAATGCCAAGATTAAAAAAGGTAAAAAATGATGAGAAAAGAAAAAAAATTAA